TCATTCACAGATTCTCTTGTCTTTCTCCAGTGAATCCTCGTTGTATTGTTACAGGCTCAGAGATGATAGGAGTGGTACAATGGAGTACATATGGAAAGGCCGGAGGAAAGAGCCTCTAGTGAAGAGCACCTGGGTCGCCAAGCAAGAATTTTTGTTGTCCTCTTCTAGAATTTCAACAACGAGGGTGGGACTGCACAGAGTCAACAATTGAGGTCATCCATTTGTTTCGGGACTAAATGGCTGACAATGAGGAAGAGAGTATGAATTATATAACATACTCTTGCATTACATGGCCCCAACTCTCTACACCATCTTGTTATCTCGGTGTACTAACCTGAGACAGTCACAAAACTTTTTGCTCTCCATCATCCAACAGAGGTACAGGTTGCACAAAGTTTAGAATGCAACCCATTTGGAACAATGTGAAGCAGGAGCAGCATTCAGTGTATTCTAGTCAACAATTTGTACTGTCTCCCTGTGAAGGGCAGTAGCTGAAAGAAGACGCTTGTGGGTATAATTGTATTTCTGCACAATAATACAAGGAAATCCTTAGGGAATCAAAATGTACTCTACTACACCAGGATGTCTTTTATGGATTTCACTCTAAAATTTGACTCACTTAGTTGGCTAAGGATTCTTAGTGCTAATCTACCCTGTACTAACCAGGATCACCTGGCCTATCAGCCCATATCACACTGCTTACTGTTAATCACGTGATTAGGTGCCACTAATCACCTGGTAGTGCAATGTGGCCCATGCTGAGTGCCCACCAAACATGTGATTAGGAACCAGTCTTGCCGTCTGACTAGCAGCTAAACCTGCAATTAGCCAATTCTGATAAGATTACATCCATAACCCTCCACCATTTGTCCCCCCCCCCCCCCCCCCTGAGATGCTCATGCTGCTCACAAGTATCTAAGGGCTGGATTTGTGGACAGAGCTCAGAGTAGTATCATGCCCAATTACCTGGCTCCAGGACTGATGTGGTCAGATAATGTGGCCACCCTTGCAGATATTTGATGTTAATTACACTTTGCAGACAATACACATGAGCATTCAAATGTTACTCAAGATTAGGGACTTATTATTACCAGCTCATGTGTTCTACCTTTGAATTATTCAGATCCATTTAGTCATATCCTGAGTTAATCCTAAATTGACCTGAACAACAATGCTGAAAAATGGTATTTGTGGGCCTGCCAGGATTGCCTTTCAAACCCCCCACCTCATGAAGGACCACTCAAACATTATCACTAGTAGTATAACTGGTATATTGCATCAAACATTGCTGTTGGTCTGACCACACAATGGGGATGATGATCATAACAATTTGACTAACTCACCCAAACCTCCTTAGAGCCACCCACAACAAATTATATTCAGACAGTTCATTTGGTCTTGTCTGCTTGCAATTGACTAATTGGCATAATTGTACAATAGCATTTCCAACTCATGTGAGAGAGCAAGGAAATATGAAGTTTACATTGAATCAAGTTTATTTTTGGTTGACCATTTGTTCTCAAACTAATTAGTTATCCAGACAAGCCACGTCAAGAGGACAAAACAAAATGAGGATCCTCTGCACTGCTTTACGTACCTGTTACAACAACATGTTCTGTACTAATACAGCCCACATGCAGTCCAAGGGGCTGACACTAATCCAGTGTTTTACCCTCTGATTAACCCTAATTGTGCAGCCCCTGTTGTTAATTAAGAACCACAGAAACTATGTTCCCAGCCTACAAGAATCTGAGCATAGCTGGTTGTGCGTTGCTCCCAAAGGAGCTGTCCCATTCAAAGGGCAAGAAAAGCTTGCCATCCCTGCAGCACTCCCCTGAACCCTTTGCCTGTGTGTCCCTTGAAGCCTGCAGCTCCACAGAGAATCTCATACATATGAACAAACTGTCTGGTTAGTGCCTGGGATAGTGGGAAAGAAACAAATATAAATTCTCTAACCATCCTTGAAAAAAACAAACTATACATACATGTTATCCTTGGCTTTGCCATTCAGGCAAACATGAGAATATAGGACATTGTACAATGTGGAAATACAATAATAGCTTTGCAGCCCTATCTCTGCTGCAACTCCACCTTTTTTTTTACTTTTTCTTCACCTCCTCCTTCTTCCTCTGTTTTTTTATTTTATCTTTTGTAATTGTGGAATTGGCTCAAGTGGGTTCCATATGGCATGTTGCACATGCACTGAGCACCAGGGATGGAAGAAGCAATCAGGGCTATTAAGTTGCTGCAGAGAGTGAGAGAGGAGCTCAGCCTCCTTGACCATACCCAACTTTGTTTGACTGTACGGAGGTCACTCTAAGTTACTTGGTCTCCAAAATTCATGCCCCATTTGAAGAATTTTGTTGTGGCTTCCCAGCTGTCCTTGTCATACAGCATCATCATATACATATGTGTGTGTGCTCATCAACCCTTTGAAGGAGGAGAAGAAGAAGAAAACAGAGTAAGAAAAACAACTCAGAACCCCATTCAAAATCCCGCCCACATGCAAGTTGTGTGAGGTGGTGCTTGAGCAAATCCTCTGACTAACTCTCCAAGCAATTCCTGTATGTGAAAATACTGCACATCTACATAAAAAAAATTGGCACAGTGGTGGTGGGTTTTGGTTGGCCTTCCTAGTGTTGGATGACTCACTCTCCTCATTCTCCTTTCTTTCACTCACTTGGGAACAGAGAGAGAGAGAGCTTGAAGTGACTTCCAGGGTTGTTGTTGCATCTTCAAGCTGTAGCTTGCTGTTATCATCCCTGGCTAGATCCTGTACCATTTGTGCTGGTACAAAGCCCAGAGTTTGTACATGAATGGCTCAAAATGATGAAGCCCTGCTTTCTTTTTTCTATTTTCTTTTTTGTTGTAAGCAAGCTGCTACATATGTTAACTGATATCTATCACCAGAGAGAACAGCAGACTAGGTTCTTGATGATTTCTTTTGCTGAAGTTCCATTTCTGCAACAGTGATGCTTTCATGAAAAAGTCTCAATCAAAGGTTTGAAAGAGAGAAAGTGAGAATAAAAGCTTTGGTAAGTGGAGATATGGGAGGGATGGTAATAAGCTTGAGATTTCTATCCAACCCTCCATGTCTGGGGAATAACCCAATGGCAATGGAAATGCTTATGCCCCAAGTAAAGCACCAGCTGACAGGATGATGTGACTCAGGCTGTGCCAGGCCTCCTCTGATATCACTTCTTCCATCTCCACCACCACCATTCTCTTCCTCTCCCTTCCTTCCTTCCTTTTGAGTTGCCTTTGTGGCAGAACCTACCAATGATCAGGCTAGACAAAATATTTGAACACCTAGTTGATGCAATCCAGTGTGTGAATATGAGCTCTTTGTTTGTGGAAGGGAAGCAATGCCATAAATAAATAAATAAATAAATAAATACTTGATCAAAATATCTCCTATTCTAAGTAAGCACATCATAAGACACCCCTACACAGAAACTGATTGTTGTAAAATCACACCAGTTGAGTTTGAGGTTATATTATTGCAGTTCACAGGAGGTGGAGTCAGTATTGAAGAAGAGACCAGTTATGGAATGGCTGGAAGTTGATCAATCCTTGCAGCACTTCACCATGATCATGCAAATTGGCACTCTGTGCTGAGTGAGGAATGAGATCCCTCTTTGATTGGATAAACAATCAAAGAGAAGGAACTGGTGGATGCTAAATTGGGCGCCATTTGTTTTGTGTGCATTTTAAATGGAGATAGGGTTGAATGGGATTTCATGTTGATGATGAGGTGACAGTAATCATGGGTGTGTCAGTCCAGTCAGAGCCTCTATGAGTTCCAGCACCTATCTCACTGCACACCCAGACAGGGCAATGTTTGCAAAGACTGGAATTGGCACTGTGACTCTGAAGTATATTGTTATTCAATTCCAGAATCCAGAAATACGTTATCTGCATTTTGTGTGCAGCTGGAGCTGGGAAGGGAGTTCTAGTATTCTGTGGGATGATGGTGACAGGTTTTTGAATTTTATTTTTTTGTGTCCATGCCCAGAGATGCTTCTTGTTACACACTCTCGACCAGACTTGTCCAATCCAATCAAGGCAGGGCTTGTTGTGATGTAGCTGCCAACTTGGCAACATGGAGAACATGGCCAGTGCAACTGCCAGTCGGGCAGTGGGGAAAGCAGCAAGTGTAGTACAAACCAGGAAGCATCATCTGTTTTTTTATTTTACATTTGCTGCTCTTATCTTATCCTTCACAACTCACACATCAGCAACTGGAAGAATGAAAGAATTAAAAAGAAAAAGAAAAAAAAGACACAAGGTGTTGTGCAACCTGCAGCTTAGTAAATCCAAATCTACAGCACACTGACATACTGTACAGACATACTGCACATTGATAGCCTCAACAAATTCGTGTACAGCCATGAATTTTGCAGTCTTCTTGCTTTGATTGACCAATCTGTGCTTGCGGCTTCCTTTCCCATTAGCATATCCTTTTCAAGATTTTCGAGGCCAAAGTGATTTTATAAAGAATTGTAGGACTGGGTTAGAGTGTGGGGATAATGAGGGAGAGGGGTGCAAGAGAAATTGGGTTAGCACCCCATTTCCTAACTCCTGAGCCCTTCCCATCACAATGGCTCTGATAATCCACATAGGTGCAAGGATCTAGAATCAGAACAGAAAGAAACATGGCCAGGTCTGAGGATACAACTTAGAAAAACATCTTCGCTCTCCGCTCTCAGGAAGTATTCCTTCTGAACCTCACCCCCTTCCCTCAATCCAAGATGTACAAATGCTTCCTACATGGTTCACATGTATATATTCAAAGTACATTTATCCACCACTGAGTAGGCTAGTGCATGCATCTGACACATAGGCAGTCTTCCCAAATCTTTCGAAGAACATCGTGGATGGATTTACAGATCACAATCACCCCCTCAATAATCAACAACGAAAATTATGTTCTAATTTGCCGTACTATTCTTCACAACATCCATTCTGATTCCCATCGCATGAGACAGCTTGGAGTTTCATATTGAAATTCATCAACCTAGTGTGGAAACAAGTCAGTCTTGCACCACTCAGACACTTCCTTAGTGAGCCAGTGTTGTTGCATAACTTCATGTGTATGTTTAGTGTACATGAATATTCAGTAGCGGCTGCTACATGCTAGGAACCATACTTCAATAAGAGAGTAACCTAAATTCCCAGATTACCTTCCCAGTAGAGACGTAAGTGATAGCAGCAAGACCAAAGCCTATGATAATCTCCGACAGCTGCGGCAGACTTCAGCACAAACAAACTATAGAAGAGGTTCATATCATTACTACAATTCTAATATGTAACAATGCAATAAGTTCAGTTGGCCTGAATTGACTTGAAATCCAGCTAGAGTGACTTGAAAGTGTCAACTATTTTGGTTTAGTAAGTAGTTTTTCTCACCATGATTCAAATAACATAATGAAAACACGGTTCATTTACATTATCATGGTCTATTTCATTGAATTCAAACTACTCACCATTAATCCAATAACGGGTATTAAAGTTTGCCTTAAAACATAACATCAGCAGCAGCAGGTGTGGTGCATGTTCCGAAGAGGTTTGTCAGTATGTTACATCAGAGGTAATTAGGGGCATAAGAATATAATTTCAGAGTTTAAGGTCTAAACACAAACCAGTAGATGTTAATACTCAGTAATGTTGTAAATGCAAAAGCATAGAAATGACATCACATGCCAATGCGATAAAAATATTATGTGCAGCACTAGCATAGTCCATTAATCGGCTAGGGAGGTGAATGGTCTACATACCCCAACAATCATTTGATCAATCATTCATCACATTACATAGTTCACAATAGGTTGTGGGCATCATAGCAAAACAGAAATTCACTGTTAAATTCCGTTTACTTCCAACAAAAACGCTGCGTCCACGGCAAGAAACGATTGCGATATACTGTCATTTTCCCGTATCCAACGTCTTACCCAATAGTATAGAGAAACTATACTTACCATCAAAGACCTAACTGCACATTTTGACCAGAAAAATGGACACACGCACTTAAAAACTGATCTCATCAAGAAATGTCATCTAAGAAAAACAGCTTAAGCTTTACGAAATCCATACAACTGCAAAGAAAAAGAAATATATTCTGGATTCGCGTCGGTAAAATCTTGATCAAAATGATTGTTGGGGTAAAGACATGGTGCGAATTAGATGATCTCGAGTTATTCAATCAATACGTTGAAAGTAAGGATTCAAAAATAAGCACTGCTTCAAAACCATTTATGTGTGCCAGACAACATCGTTCGAATAGTAAAATGTACACACAAACAAATAACTCACCTCTTCAGATATGCTTCAAAATGCTACACCAACCTGTGCGCCTGAATTAGTTCAACGTCATGTAATTGAATGCAGCTCTTCTCGCATTCTTTTTTGCTATATGAGGTGCAGAAACACTGTATTGCACATCCAACTCGGTAGCCACATCCACCGAGCTATCCAGCATGTCAGCTATCAGGATTCTGTCCAAATTCATCCGCGTCAAGCAACGAAGCATATCAAAGCTTCATGACTTGCTAAGACTTCACTTGCATAGTGGAGCTAAAGGACGCTGAATGAAGTGTTACTTTCAGGTTAGTGGTGCAATAGCGAAGAAGTAGTTGGAGAAGAATAAGGAGTGGCACTCTACTGGATTCACTACGACATTCTGTAATACAGCAATAAGCACAAGTGGAGTCATCGAAGCAATTATCTTAAGATTTTTCCAAAACATCCAGAATTCTCCATAACAAGGGACCGTTAGTAGAAGATACAGAACGGACCCTACTTACCAGCTGAGAGTACCATCTCAGTACAGTGTTTCACTTGTGCAGTATGATCCAATTCTACACGGCCGCTTAATTCATGATTCATTCACACCAGAGGCAAGGAATAAAATATTCATAGCACAACTCTAACCATGAGCGACTAGCAAGAAATTCGATAGGATTTCTGTGGTATTATATTCTTCTCATCGGTAAATTACAGACAACTAAATTGATTATTAATGCAACGTAAATTACACAACATATCCATTGACCACTAAATTAGTCAGTGTATCGAAGACAACGAAGTTGAAAGTCAGGGTTAGAGGAGGTTAAAAAGTGCACACCGCTTTCTAGTCAACTCCAGGTGGGTGATAATCCAAGCAAACACAAGCACAAGCACATCGTGAGGTGATCGCTTAACAACGCCCCAATAATGTTGAACTGGAGGACGTCATCTAAAGTTCAACATACATGTCAACGTTGAAGCAAATCATGTCCACCGATTTGTGTTGCACTCGCTCTGCTTAGTGAAACCACATCCACATGTAGAAGTCGAGCGGACGGCGACCACTGTTCAACACGAATAGCCGTTTTAAACGGATAACAATCAGCTGACAAAGGCTCGCAGTGATCGATCAGGTAGAAAAGGTAACTCTTAAATCTTCCATGATACTGGCGTAGGCAATCTTAGAATCATTGCGTGAGGCCGAAAATGTGAGGTGAGGAGAATTAACGGTGGAACATCCAATAACCCATTTTCCAGTCAAACTGATATAACTAACGCTCCTCCATACAAAGGTAGAAGACAGAAGAATCTTAATTTGTGCCACATGGATGTAACCATAAACAAGCCAGCACTAGATGCAAAACTATCCAGACCACGCAGGAGTGACATGCAAGTTTTGACAGACGATAGCTCAAGCCAACTCAGAAGTGATGAACCGAGGACGGTCCGAAATCACAGCCTTCCAGGGCACGATTTCGGGTCAACTCAAGTTCAGCATGCATCCAAAGGACTTTGCCATACAAGCCCTCAAAAATTGTAGCACTCATACTGCAAAGGATGCTGGAAGAGCACCAGTGAGTCAGATGCAAAAAAAGACAGAAAACATGGAAACAAATTCGTGCACAACATCTATAAGAAATCGAGGAAGCATACTGTAACTCTCAAAAACAACGAGCGAAAAAGACACCACGCGAAGAGGTAAAATAGCGTGTGGAAATGCATCAGAAAGTTGCAACAACGCTGTGATTTAAAATTCGAAAATCCATAGTACCTACGTTGCTACCATTTCGCATGAGAAACACGGATTACATATTTCGTAACCTCAGTGCCCCGGATGAACAACAGGGAGGCATACGAAGTATATATCACCGTTTTGTTCATAAGGAGCACTCCTCTGAAACAGCCAGCAACACAGAGACTGCGGGTGGATCCGAAAGTCACTTACCAGTCTGCTTCAAACTCCAACATCAATAGCATGCCTTGTTCGAGTTCCACACCACGGTAATGCGATGAGAAAAACACCGAAGCAGTTACAGATACCAAACCACGCAACAACGGCCCGCTCTGCACAGATAGGTGTGCGACTCTGTAGGAACGCGAGACATCGATCTGAGCTCTTGAGACGAAAACCCTGGCGTACTCAGGAGGAGCAACGTAAAGTGCGGGGCGAGGTCGAACGCGAGGCGAGAACCAAGATCTGATCATGACCGCGTCGCGTCGAACCTACGGCGGTCAAAGGCGAAGATAATATTGCGTCGACGGCGACAGGTGATGCTCTTTGTGGAGCAGCGCAAAAAACCTCCACTTGCATCGTGTCCGGTATCCACCACACGGCGGGAATCCGGGGGATCCGATGACAGCGATGGCTTCATGAATCTAAATTCTCATGGATGCCACGGCATGAGTGCTCATCATCCATGCCAATGATGGATGATGGATGATGCCCTCCACAGTGGATGCGCATGACCATCTCCAGGAAACATCATACGGCTCTTCTATCAGTCGGGCAGCCTGCCCGCAATCGTTGTTTTTACCGTATGCATACGCCGTGAACTGATTTGTATTGTTCGAGGCTCATGTACGTATTTCAGGACGTAGTAGCAGGTGTCTGTCTCATCCAGACAGTACTGTGCTGTATCCAGAGAATCAGTCTCTGACATGTATGTATAATACTCTGTATAGTACAAGAATTACAATTGCTGTATGTATGAACATAATGTCTATGTAATTATAAGAATAATCATGATTCAAGTGTAACCTTTTAACCATGATTTTTGTTTACATGCACAATTAATATAAAATAAAAATATATAATAATAAAATTCTTCACATAAGAATTGAATCAATAAAAGTAAAAAGGTTTTCTACTGCTTTAGGAATTAATGGGTGTTTTATTATATTCAGACATAGATCCAAATTACACACCCAGAAATACCACAACCATAGGACAAACTAAAAACATTAAAATGCAAGAAAATAAAAGCCAATCGTAAAATTTTAAGATGTTAATATTTTTGAAAGCAATTATGTAAATTTTACTTATATCTGTGGAATTATGCAAGGTTACTTTTTCAAATTTTCTAAGTGCTACACCCAACTTTATTGTCATTTTTATTATAAAAAAGATTAATTTTTTTCTATCTTTTATTTCTATTAATTAAAAAATAAAGACGCTTGCAAATTATGTTAAAATATTAAAAAATCCAGTATTGTATGTATATAAAAACAATAAAAAAATTTGAAGACTCAATAATTCTGAGGTAGTCTGTTTTGGCTATTTCAATATATACAATCTATCTAAGAAATAATAATTGATGCATTTGATATTGAATACATTAGTTTATTATTATATCTGTAGATTGTTAGTCATGCTTTTGAAACCTATTTATAATTGTAGAAATGAATATGGTTTTTGTATTAAATACATTAAAAATAAAAATAAAATACTATTCATATTTAAATTGCAAAAAACTAAGTTTTCACTTCAAAATAATAAGTTATTTATACAACTTTTGGTACTATTTTAAATATATTTAGTATTATTACTTAAAATTATATTCATTGAATAATTCATTATTTAAAGCATGTATTAACAATCTCTGCATATTATTTAGTATTTTTTTAATATTTATATCTTTGTCACTCTATGTCTTAGTTATATATTTAATATGATTTATTACCAAGTTTAGTGTCTGTGTAGATACTACATTATGTCTTATTACCATATTACAAAGTTAGTTGTATATATTTATAAAAATACTCTCTTATAAATGATAGTTAAGTTTAGAAATTCACATCACGTTTATTTATTTATTTGAAATTCAATCCAAACACCCATTAGATCCTAAAGAAGTAGAAAATCAATTAATGGGTGTTTTGGCAGTATTATATTGTAAAAGTAAAATTATTTCCTGTTATATTTTACCTTTGAAATTTATTAAAATTATTCAACAAAACCCAAAGTCTATTCAACAAAACCCAAAGTCTATTCAACAAAACCCAAAGTCTTCTAAAACCATTTACTGTTTTTCTAAAAACCTCCCCTCTCATTATTGAAAATCTTCATCAAATGTTCCTAAAATTGTATATGAGTGTGTTTTTAATCATTTAAATAGTAGATTCATGCAAGAGCCTGTTTTGGACACAACTACAACTTCCGATGTAATTTTTTTTCAGAAAGGTTACATTTTCCTAAACATTTGTTACTCAACAAAATTAAACGACCCTAGTGGCACTAGGCATTGTCTTTTCCAATAGCTTGTAACTTAACGTTCCCAAGCTTTTTAGATTTAGATTATGCTTGCTATATTTTTAACTGAGCTTTTAAGTTTATATGGTAGACAAGTGTATACTTCCACCTGTGTACATCTATGTCTAACTTTAAGTATAATTGCTTGCTCTTTTGTTCCAGACAGGTATGTTCCAATGATCCTTTAACCCCTACACCACACATCACTTCTAAATTAACCTGGTTCACATTACTTCAAGTCAGCAGCGTTTTGGTTTTTAGTATTGAAAAGACGAGAAAATGCAGGTTATCTTCTGTGATAACTTGAACAAAGTCCGAAGGGTCATTCCACGATCATCTCCATTATATATTTAAAAGAAGATAAAGGACACTATCAATCTATTGACAAAATTGTCATGAATTGATTTCTTATCGCACTCAACTTTCATAAACTAATGTTCTTTCAAGTTCAACCACCGTAGTTTCATTGTAGAACAAATGAGCATCAACATATCAATTCAATGAATCGTACGCGTATGTGTGGAAATATGCAACTGTCCATCGTATTCCACTCAGAATCAAAACAAGCACTGCAAAGACCGACATGCAACAACATCCTGTGGCGAATTGTTCGCCTTATCACCTAATACGGAGAAGATACGGTAAAAATTCGGAGAGAACCAGTTACCTTGTGGGTTATTTAAAAATAAAAGCTCTGGTCACAAAAGCACTGACGATACTCCATATTTTACGTATTATCAAATTAACAGAAGTAAACAGGTACATGCATGTTTAGTACCATAACCCCTTCAACGATATTAAAATCATGAAAACTGCTGTAGACACAAACTGCCTAAGTTAAGTTGATTTCCAGATCCAAACTACACAATGCAAAAGCAATAGCTGAAGACCATTTATCTGGAGATCCTACGTGCGCACTCTAGAAAGACAAAATGCTTGAAGATATGATCTTCCAGTCATAAGACCACACTATTCAGAAGCATCCGATGGAATTTAAATGGACATAATTGAGTGCTGATTCTAGGTGTATTTCAAGCATTCCAAGCCCTAGTATATGAGTGATTCATAGGACTGGTTCCAGGTTATCACTGCTAGCTCAAAACGCCTGATCTCAAAGATCTTCATATCCACAAACGGGTCAATCACATGTCATCATTTGATGCTTGGTCTCCCTCATTCTTTGTTTCCTGGGCAACTAGCTTGTCACGTACCTTGTAAGCCCAGTGCAACCCAGGGCAATAGTGGAGAGGCGGATTAAACCGACCATCAGTCATGTCCGGCGCAAGAAAAGCACCATTCTCAAGAAGAAAACGAACTGCTTTTCTATTTCTCTCTTTGGCAGCGTTGTGAAGAGGAGTCCCTGCAGATAACTCGTATCGTATCAGAACGTAACAAATCGCGTCCCTTTAGTCTAGAGTACCTATAAAAGATCTGTTGACAGCGAAATGAACATTCCATTTGATTACCCACAACCCAGAAACTTATTGCAACATTACAATACCGAAGCCTTGCCAGTAACGCATTACATGTGCACGGCTTGTCCCGTGTAGAATACAAGTGAGTTTATTTATACTAGTTAGCACCAGACGACATTTTCCAGACACTTTATTTAGACGCAAGAGCTCTGAGAAAGAGCGCACTCACATCCACAACCACCTTTCGTACGAACATCAATATCCGCACCACGCTCCAAAAGCTCATCCATCACATCAATATGCCCACCAGCAGCAGCAAGGTGAAGAGCTGTACCCCCTGGTGATTTGGGCCCTGTAGAAGGCTCGTTCACGTTGGCTCCAGCGTCAATGAGCCTCCGGACCTGCATGAGATGTAAAACCATACATCTAAGAATCTAAAAAAAAGTCCGATTGCCGCCAAAAGGCTGAAAAAATAGCATCAGCATTTCCAAAGATGGTCATCGGTTAAAACTTTCATAACATGGAGAGGTAAATCATTGGCTCGATTTCGTACAGCTCCACCCTCACCAATCAACACCGTGCTGAAATGGACACTCACCTCAGCAAGGTCTCCTCGTCGAGCGGCAACATGTAGAGGGGTCCAGCCCCGGTCATCACGATCACTGGGGGCTTTAATCGAGAAGCGACGTGAGAGCCTCCGCTGTAGCACCATTGGTCGTTGCGTCTGCGATCGAGATGTACTCAGATTCGTGAACTTCGAGAAGAATGTATAGTACTTTCCAAACAATCATTCAATTGAGAGAAAAGATGGGACATTCAACTGGGTCAAAACTAAGCAGCCTCTACCAGATCATGATCTAATTAAATAGCTCAACCGACTGTTTCGAGAAAGTCATCCAATTTAACTCACAGCAATTTCGTTGACAGCGGGGCCTTTGTCGGCAGACGGTCCTTCACGGCAAGGGACTGTATATGGATTCACAACAGCATCTACCTCCCCAGACGCAACTTTATGACCAAAGCTGGGTTGTATCCCCATGAACATCAAATCGTTGGTGCACAACTTGAGAGAGAACTGAAAGTAGCAAATCAAGGTATGTCTTCAACAGCCACTAGATGTGGACGGAACTCCTTGACGGTAACAGCTCCAATAACAGGATAAAAGAGAACTCTATGTCTCGGCTGAACCAGCGGCCACGAATTTAGATGCGGCTTTACAAAAGCTCCAGGATTATATACTCCTGTGGCTGATAGAAAGCCATGGGAAGGTGCTTAAGGGGACAGAAAAGGAGTGACAACGCATCCGGGTCCTGGGATACACATATCTCTCAAGGTGAAGCTCCAAACGTAAGAGAGTTGATCCACGGCAATGCTTCCGGCTCCGGTAGTCATAGGTTTGTAGCTATAGTCAAGTTGACGAGGTCCAGTAGCAGGAGCACAAGCACCTGCGGCCACTGCGATTGTGCTCTCGGAGCGATTTTTCAATGCTAACAAGGAATCCAGACAGTCCAATCTGCAGAGAGATGTCGTAGGTGAGAATACGGGTTAAGAAGGAGCAGCGGTTGATATCAATAAACTACCGACCGAAGCAAACAGGGACTGTGATTGTCACCGAGGAATCAAAATAGTCGGACAGAAAACGCCTTCACTCAAAGAGCTTGCTCGGATGAGTCATTCACCTGGGATCTCTTAAACCTCAAACCCTCACATCATAACGCCGTTACGCACACTCCAGGATTCTTGTAAAAAGAATTGAACAGCACAGACGCTCGACAAGTAACAACACAGCATATCGAAAAGAAATCATGTCCGGCGAATCTCCCTCAACTGATACAAATACACCACCACCCACTCAACCAGTACGAGAGCCAGTACCAGCCGAGAAACCATCGCAACATGCACAACAGAACATAGAAAAATCTCGAGGGAGGAGGTACATAACATTTCCGACGGAACTGAAACAGCGTGGCTCGGAATCAGAGAAGGAAGAATACCTAATTGGTGTAGTCAGGAGCACGATGACGCCATGTGGTGCCGTGAAGGATGATGAATCCGCGAGGGAGGGGGAAGGTCAAAGGAAGCAAGCTAGCAAGCGTGAGAGATGAAGAGAAGGTGAGCAGGGGAGTTTGTGGACAGACTTGCAGCTCCAAACCCTAATCGGTCATCGAGGACATACGTGGCGTGTCCGTATTGCCGCCTTCTAAAGGTGAGAGCCAGAATGCCCGACTGAGGTGGGTCTACTTCTCCAATTATCCCATCGTGCTTCATCCGTCTCCACAGGTCTTTACTCATATTAATGTTGCATGAAAGAGTATTTATTGTGGATACTGGAGTGTAGGTAAAACATTGAATTTTATATTAGATACTAAATTTATGAGTTGACAATCCTAGTTTTTTTGACTATTGACTTAGAATTCCGCAGAAAGATCTGAAATTTATCTTGCTTAAGTCGCATTCAAATAACTTATAGCGTTGTTTAGTTTATTGCAAGAGTCTAGTAAGATACAAAATGTAACATACGAGAAATTAATATTAAAGAAAAATCCTTGTCATGTTCCAATGTAATCCACACACATTCAAAACATATTCAAAAATGAAATATAGGCTTTTCGCTTCTCTGGTATTTTGCACACTGTTTCGGATATAGATGTATCAACTATCTCCAATTACAACCATAACCTTCAAACTATTTTGCCTTATCTCCCCTACTTCCACATTTAAAACTATGCAACTCAAAACCTGAGTTTCTGTCATTGTTCAAAAAGAGTCAACTATCGAAGCACGTTTTAGGACACTCAGAAGATGTTTGAAGAGATCTCCAAAGAACACAATACAAGAGTGAATAGTGAATATATTCAGCGGATCCAGCAAAGAACTGTTGCAGTTATTGTGATGTTCTTGAGTGCACCAGCTTCTGTGTTGAGGGCCTGTAAGACATCCTTCATATACATTTCCTAGTTCACATTCAAGTAAACAACTATCTACCTTCAGGACAGAAGTAGGGACACAATAAAAACCTCAGGATGGTCAGATGTGCCAGGAATTTTAAAGAAATTGAGCAGTCAGGTGCGTTAAATTGCCAAATTACAGGACCTTCAGAACGGACTTCGAAGAACACAAAATTTGCGGTACTAGACGATGTATACATGCTGCCATACCAATGAGCTTTCGAACACCCTACCGAGTTCCCTCCCAAGTTTGCTTGAGCGAATCCAGCACTTCCGAAGCAAACATGCAGCGAGTATACCCACGCCAGACTATCGTTATCTTCTCCACGAACTAATACTTGGTCATGTCACTTGGCCGGCAGGAAAGCCAATTACTTCCTTGTGTTGGCTGCTCAAATTAAACATCTGCTCGAAACCTGCAATGCTACAAAATCCTCTTTCAATGGGTCGCTTCTCAAACTCACCTCACTCTTGCCTCCCACACAGCGTTCAGCTTATCCCTCCCTCCATTTTCCACAGTCCACCTCCAAAACCCAACAGACAACATTCGTAGCTGTCAACCTCCTCCCAACCTTACAGACACCAGCCCTCGACATTTCTGTGCACGACTCTCAGGCACTCTACTCTATCTAACTTCCCCAAGGAACGTCTAGTCCGCTGTTCGCTTATCACCCCAGAATTCCTGTACGCTTGCTCTAACCCACTCTACCAGCGTAACCAATCGAATGCACGACTCGCATTAAACTCTTACATCATTGCCACAACTTTACATCAGAATCTGTAGAGTCTGGCTCAGCACAATTGAATAGGTTTATAAAGGACTGAATCCGACTAATAGACTTCTATAAAATAGACGAAGGGAATAAAATAGCACGAAGAGGAGGTAAAGAATGGAACACGACACGCAAGTAACCGGATTCGCTAACAACTAAGTCTATCTCAGAAAGGAATGTTCACTACTGGCGACTAACTGCTTTGAGAATAAGCATCAATCCTGTGGCAGCCAAAGCTCCTGTTGCCGTTGCAGCTGGTAGTATATACTTAGTTGTTTCTGTCCTCTTGTCGGATTCATACTTCGCCAACTCTAGCTCTTCGTACATCTTCTCTTTTTTCCTCGCTTCCCATTTAGCATTCTCCAGAGTTTCTTCAAGAGTTTTAACTTGTGACTGCCATGAGTCCAGCTCTAAAGATTTGTCCCTACCATTCTTGAGCTCTGTAAGTTCAGCAAGCAGTTCCTCGCATTTCGCATGTGAACTTGCAATTGTCTCTTGTAGGCTTTGAATCGTATCCGCAGAATACCCGAGGTCAGCCTTGAGCTTCTCATTTTCAGCACTGGCAGTTGAGATCTTCAAGGAAAAGTCTGGAATAAATTCAGGTTGACGTCAATCAGTAAGAAAAGTTTAAGCTACCTTACACAATCTGCTGCTGTGAATCTACACGGTAACCTGAATTATTCTGTTAAAAATCATCGCGTGCAATTCCAATCTTAGCAACTCCCTGTAGCCCTCAAAAGCAACGCATGCGGGGTTTAGAGGCGTTTTAAAAACCATGAATGTCAACACAAAAAGGAACGGAAATAAACGAAGTTACTCAGAAGGAAAATGTTTTCGAAACCACAAAGAAGAGCATTCTGATCAAAGCATTAGACACTAGATCTCTCGATTATAACTGCAAATGGCATTGCTCGTTCGAACCACTCTACACACCCGCACAAGATTTCAGAAAGGCAACCACGAAAACTGCTGTACCTTGCCCATCATCCTTATATGTTTGTGCGGCCTCCGCTGCTTTGTATTTTTCCGTCTGCAGCTGACTTTCCAAAAGCTCGACCCTGCTCTGCAACTCCTTCAACTTTCCTGTGAGTTCCTTAGTATGAGAATCGAAAATTTCTTGCTCTATTTCAAACCTTGCAGCAGCCTCCATTGCTTCGGATTTAGCACCTTTCAACTTCTCTTGTAAACTTATAGTTTGGGTTTCCAGTTCCTGTACCTTCTCACAGAACTCTCTAGTCTTAAAAGCCAATATATCATTGGCTTCAGATGCTTCACTCTTAGCGGTTCCCAATTCATCTTGCAAATGCAGGATCTGGTTATCAAGGCTCTCTACTCTCTCATCAAACTCCTTCGATTTGGATTCAACCAATGCAGAGGATTCTGCTGATTTTTGTTTCACATGTTCAAGCTCCTGCTTTAAGGAAGAGATTGTACTTTCCAGAAAGGTAACTTTGCTCACTACATCCTCCTCTTGAATACTACATTCTTTATGCTTCTTTTCCAATGACGCGGCAAGCTCAGTCGACTGCTCTTTTGCAACCAAAAGTTCCTCGCGCAATTCTGACATTGTCATGTCAGATGACTCTAATTCTGTGCTCAGCTCTTTGACTTTAGCCTCAAGGTCCTTGACCTTTCTGTTATAGACTTCCTCCTGAGAATGTGCATCCGTCAAAACTCCTTCAAGTCTTGTATTCTCGTTCCTGATCCTCCCATTCTCAAACTCAAGTTCCTCAGCGGCCTGCAAGAACAAACCACGCCAGCTTTCTCGGCTATAACCAAACCCACAACCTAGAAAATACATGTAGACGAGCTTGACTGAATCTGACATACATTTTAGTTAATCCTGAACAGCATTCTAGTGTCATGAACTAAGCATTAAGAAGAGGAATCACTCGTAAGATTGAAGCACGGCTCATTGGATGAAGTCAATAAATACCTTCTTGAACTTAGAGAGATCTACACCAAGCCCTTCGATGTCTTTCTCAAGAGTAGGTACTCTTTCCTGAGCGACGAAACTAAGCTTCTTTACTTCTTCCAGCTCCTGCCTTGACTTAAAAAGAGCATCTTCTAATTCCCTCTTCTCAGAAAGCAACACACCCTTCTCTTCCTCTACTGCAGCCTTCTCCTGCGACAATCTAGTAACACTGTCCTTCAAAGATAGAAACTCAACTTCCGGTATCTGTGAACCAATGAGCACCCTATTTGCCTGCTTTAGTGATTCTGCATCTTTCTCCAAAGCCTCCACTCTTTCCACCAAGATTTTCTTTTCCTTTCCAGCATCCTCGAGGTCTTGTTTGGATCTCTTCAGATCATCTTCCAAAACCCTCTTCTCAGAGTGAAGGGAGTCTTTTTCCTTGACAAGCGCATCTCTCTCTTGACTCAACTCCGAGGCATTTTGCCGAAACCCAGCCGATTGTGCCAGAAGCTCCTCGACTTTGAAAGATAGTGATTTGACTTCTTCCTTCAAAGATTGAGCTCGCTCTTCAGCAACCACGAAACGCTTCTCAGCTTCGTCGAGCTCACTCTTCCTCTCGCTGATTTCCTGCTGTAACCTTTCATTCTCACATGAAAGAGATTCCTTTTCTTTCAAAACGGCATCTCTGCTCTGGGTCAATTCCATTACATTATCCTTCAAGGCCAGAAAATCTTTCTCATGTATTTGTGACTCCCGAAGTTCGTGACTCTCAGCAACGAGAGACTTCACCTTCTCTTTCAGAGTACTAATCTCGTCTTCAGTAATTCCGGCAGACTTTTTAGCTTCCGCAAGTTCTTCCTCTAATGCAGACAAGCGCTTTTCTTGCGCTTCCTTCTCCAATAGAAGACTAGCTTTCTCCTCCAATAAAGAGGACTTTTCTGTACTAAGCTTCGATGCACTTTCTTGCAGCGCGACCAAATCTTCCTTTGCCGTCATTAAGGATTCAGTTTCTTTCTCCAGAGCGAGAACCCTTTGGTTGGCAGCAGTAGAAGACCTCTCTACCTCCTCAGATTCAACCCTAAACTTGGATACAGTTTCTTCCAAGCGATTCTTCTCAGAAATAAGAGAATCTCTTTCCTTCATCAGTGCGTCTTTCTCGTCAGCTACAGTTGTAGCAAACTCCTTCAGCGTCAAAAACTCAGTTTCTGATATTTGAGGCTTCTGTTGATCGACTTCAATAGAATGTTCAGATGTAGGGGCGATTCTCTTCGCTTCAGTATCATTAACCTGTACACATTCATGGTTCTTACTTGACTTGAAGATGATTTGGAATCTCACGGTTAATAACGAACAGCATATCAATTGTCCAATGCACGAGGCACAAGAGGCATGTAAGCAAAAATGAAAATGCAATATGAGCAAGTCGTTGAAATGAATCAGTACTGACCACACATATTAGACCAGATATATTAGTCTTCATGTAGAAAGTCAGTACTCCAATTCAATATGGAATGAGCAAAAATCGACCGCCTAACCATCGAACAAATTTCATCTCAGCTCAAATCCAACAGTAACAGGTTATAGTGAAATACGATGCATAGAAGAATGCCCAAAGTATTCACAAGACGAAGTTTGTTACTAACCGCATTGAGCTGCTCCTCCAATTCTGCCACCTTCTTCGCAAGATTATCTTTGTCACTTCTAAGACCTTTAACTTGTTTCAACAAGTTTTCATTCAAATCGTGAAGGATTTGAGTCTTAGAATTCTCAGTAGAAAGAGCTGTCTGAGAGACGGCATGATCATCAGATACATCGTGTTTCGGAGAGGCTGGAGGTATATCTGCCTCCCAAGATTCCCATAAGACTTCGATCAAAAAACTTTTAAAGACAGCAACAAGATGCAGAAAGGTTGATAAAGGCATAATCCCATCCAAGTAATGGCGAGTGCCCAAAATCAAGCAAGGCTCATCAAGCTCAATCACACTAAATTATCATGACTCTAACTAATTCCAACCTACTTGTGAAGTTCAAAGACACAAATGATAATAGCCATTTTCTAGAGGAGAAGGGAGGAGTCGTGCTGCTAGCGAAGGAAAACAAACAAGTAGTAAACAATCACGCACCTGCGACTCGAGGAGACATTGAGGGCGGAGAAATGGAACCTTCTCGAGACACTGAACCACTGTGAGGGTAGCGGGGAGTAGAGTTGGCCGATGCAAATGTGTCGCCCTCATCACCGCTAGCTGCATGGTTTACTGATTGGCCGTTGTTCTTCTCGGAACTGTTCGTCACCACAGTGAGACCGTCGATGCCGGCTTGCTCGTGAGGACTCATGGTTTTCTCGTGAGTCTCGTGGTGTTTTTTCTTGTGGTGATTCTTCTTATGATTGTGGCCCGGCATTTTGTCTGCGATACAGGAAGATAGTTTAAGGCAATCATGACCGTAATATGAACACTGGAAAAAATGTAGCGACCTGCCGTTACACAATTTGCGTCTTTCTGCGCATGAAGTGCGCAATCGGGAAAAAAATAAAATAAAATAAAATCGTGGGCACACAGCAGAATCACAAAGAACATTACAACTTAACAGGCTGGCATAGTGAACTCCGTCAGCAACGAAGATCAGCGCACTATCAAGCAAACAGTAGCTTAAAAAAGGTGTGCCAAAGATGAACTGTCTTTGGAAGAGGAACTAGACGTAAACGGGCAAAGAAAAGAGCCACACACAATGCAGCCAGAGGATGTGAATCCAATGTACAGCTTCCACCCTCTCCCTCTCCCTCTCTAGGTGATTCACGCGCAACTCTTGATCGTTCACCCAAGAGGTATACCCCTAAATTGTGCACTATAAATTTCACCAAAGCTAACCACCTAATGACAGCCTCATCAAAAACATGCCCAACGCTGATGCCAGAGGGAAACAAACCCATCCAACAAAACGAGCATTCTCCAAGTGAGGAAAGACCTATACCAAATACATACGACACACCTGATCTGCCTCGAAGCCCGATAGAACGAACTCGTCACCAAGAGTCAATCCCCAAACCTCTTGCCTAGCTCTGAAGACTTTGGACACTCCACCCAACAATCCAGATTCATTCTCCCTAACAGCTTCTTGCTCTGCTCAGCTCGCTAATCGACTCAACTCAACTTCAAAAACTACGCAATACCTTTATCACGAATCCAGGAAGGATCACAAACACCTTGGAACACCAGGCGAAATGCTCACAAAGAGCTGACACGATCTCGGAAGTACCTCAAAAGTTCACAGCACTCAGCCCAAATTTAATCTCCAAGGGCAGTTCACACACGCTTAGGGTTACCATTACCACCATGGACACAGGAAAGACAATCTAGAGGTATACTCCTCAGGCAGTTTGCAAAAAGGTTAACTTACTCTACAATGTGGTCGAAAAAAATCCGGCGCCAGACTCCATCGCAACCCTTCGGCGGCTAACTCAAAATTTCAAAATCCACGGCAATCCACGATGGGCATTTAACGCACACCGATGATAATGACCCTGTCAAACTCAACCCTGGTGCTGACTTCCGATGCTGCGATGATGATGATGCTTGCGATGCGAGGGAGGGAGGGAGGGAGGGAGGGAGACTGTGTGAGATCGACGACGCAGCGCGAGGGAGGGGAGGAGCGATTCGATGTGAGAGCGAGGAAATGGTCGCAAAACCCCGGGTGCGGGCGGCGTTCCACTGGGCGGGGGAGAGTGAGTCTCCGGCGGAGTCCTTTGCCGCGCCTTCCGCCGCGAGAAGCTGCCCTTTGGCCCAACAAAGACCCCAGAAGACTGCGTTCACACCGTAGCTCCACCGAATCTTCGCGTTCCCGACACTGTAAACGGACGGTTCCCATGGCAGTATTCAACGATCACCGTCTTGTGACTGCCCCCGTGGCCGTCCACGTCAGCTTCCCCGTCGTTAGCTACTCGCTCTCTGAGCTTGTCATCCACGTCAGCTTCCCTCGCTATCGTCATCACTGCCACCTCAGCTTATTTTTCATCTAAGTCTCCTCGAATTCCATTCGAACCAAATATTTTACCCTTTTTTCTTCCTTTTTTTTTAATACATTGATTATCTTCGAATCGGCATGTCTAGTTGTGAAGCTGCTTGGATACTGCCATCTACAATATAATCCAATATCCAATATCCAGTTGAAACAGTTGATGTATACTTATGTTGGCTTTAAAGTAATGACCATACATTTTTACTTTCACATTATCAAAAGTATTCTGCTTTTCATGGTTATTGACAGGATTAAGTATCAAATGGTTACATGTGCAAATTATACTGAATCAAGTAATTTTACTTGAGTGCAGATTATTTCTTATTTTGAAATTTGCAGACTTTTTGAAAGATATGTCCATTACATAGGTATCTTATATTTCAAGATGTTTTCTAATTGAGATTTCCCCAAAGTTGACCGGGTTTTGATTTCTAGCATCCAAAGATCTTCACATTTCATAGAAGGAAAGTTACCTCTGAAATTTAAATACATTTGTAGAATTAAATAAAATAATGATATCATGTTTCTTTGTGTTTTTTAACATCAAATACAGGCCATTTGATTTTTAAGATTAGAAATTAGTACAGGATTTTAAAAAATATGTCTAAAAGCATAAAAATATGAATTTAGTTATTTAAGAAAATATTTATAAAATTACTTAAGTAATTATAAAATTCCTATATAAATTTGATGCTACATTTGACATTGGATATATATATATATATATATATATATATCTATACATATACACATATATGGTTAAATGACATAATTGAAGTTTTGGGTGTTAAAACATTTTATGATGTTGTTTTTCAATTTGTATGATGTGACAATTAATCAACAAAATAATAAAAACAATATCGAAATGTTGGTTTTTATTTCTTTTGAAAGAACATAAATCTTTTTAAAGAATATAACTCATCCATTTATAAGTTGAAATTGTATCAAATAAAATTTGTGATAATTGTATACTGTTGATATTTTATAAACTATATTTATTTAGGATAATGTACTAATACAATCGTACTTTGCTTAATTTATATCCTTTAACTAATATTTTTTACAACAAAGATTGTTTTCATGTTATAAACTTATAACTTTGCTTTTCACATAATTAATAACACACATATATATATATATATATAGAGAGAGAGAGAGAGAGAGAGAGAGATATATAGATAGATAGATAGATATATAGATATATAAATAAGGACAAAATTTTATGATTTAAATGATAAACTAAGAAAAATTTAATAATGTAGGTATTGATTCTTCTTGCAAAAACATAAATGAATGTGGATCCAAGAAGACTAGAGATCATTTATTTGTATATTTGCAAGTACCACCAAATTGCAAGAAGTCATGTACAATTGTTGTAGATTGTATTTTTAATGAAGCTTAAGACATTGATTGGATTTGGTCTTTAAACTTGATTAAATTTAGTCATTCAACATTGTCTAGGATAAAAATAATACCCAGTATATCTTTATTAAGTATTATAGATCCATTGTTATTAATCTTTTATAGAGATCATTTGTATTGATCAATAGGTGATTCATATCATCTTCAAGTCCTAATAAGAAGAAATAAAAGCAAGTTAGAGCATGTGATTCTATACAACTATCATTCTCCACTTAACAAAGCACAAGTGTTACATATGCTAATTTAGTATGTGCAAACCAAGTTTCATTGCAATGACTATATTAAGTCTAAGAAAGTCTAAGAAAGTATAATATGTAACCTAGGGAACATAGCCAAATATTTTAAAATTACACTACAAAAAAAACTTACCAAAGAAATTCAAAACAATTACTAGTGTAGTGAAAACTATATATTTTTTAGTTGTTTTATACAAGATTGCAAAACCATGTTAAATTTATACTCTTAATTTTTTTTTCTTACCAATGTCTTCATTTGCTAGTAATATACATAGTTGAATATGAAAGATGTGCAAATCAATGTGTTTTCATTTTGATCATTAGTAGAAAATGTAAGAACAAATATTGATAAAAACAAGGAAAAATATCATACATATCCTTGAAATATGCGGAAATATCAAGAATACCCCTATATTCTTGATAATAGCAAATATATCCCTGAGTTTTAAAATAATAGCAAACCTATCCTTGTACGTGATAAGCTATAACCATCTTTTGTTTTTTTGCTGCATTTGGGGCCATCAGAAGCATTTTTTCTCGCATCTTGGGCCCCACATTAAATGTAATCAACGACTGTCGAAGCAATGGCAACCGAGGCTACCATCCACGCGGACCCATAGATCGATTCCAGTTCTGACAGCGAGGAGCCTTACTTCGATGCCTCCTTCTTTGTTGATGGAACATATGTTGAAAAGGAATCCTTGTTGGGGCTCATACGATTAAGGTTTTGTGCCTTCAGTGCTTGACAACTGATTGTGATCTCATAGAGCAGCTGGTGTGGCCAGGAATTGGAGATCTGAACGATTACCTAGTCAGTCATTCAAATATTCTTTGTGGTGACTTTGTGATCGAACTAGGATCCGAAGTTGGTCTCAACGGTTTGATGTGTGTCTGGTATAGTGGTCATGACTAATCACTACACCACCGTATTAAAGGTAATGAAAAAGAATGTGGAGTTGCAGGGTGATACTTTGCAATCATAGGTGGAGCTCGACTGGGGCAATGAAGTTTACATAGGACACATCGAAAAGACTTACTCTGATGGTTTCGACCTCATCTTGGGTGCAGACATCTGCTATCACCAAAGCACTGTAAAACCTCTCTTTGAGACAGGAAAAGCCCTCATGGAGCTCCGCCTTATAGGATCTGGCAAGTTTATTTTGGGTTATGTTTCTCTGTTCAAGAGTAACGATATAATAGTTAACGTGAAAGTTTAAAGATTGAAGATGGATATTTGTGAGGCTCCAAGAACCAGGAATTTGCTAGCAAGGGGTGCACATGAAGTTTATCACATATAAGGATAGATTTACTATTACCAAGAATATAGCGTATAAGGATAGTTTTGCTATTTTCAAGAATAAAGGGGTATTCTTGATATTTCTGGATATTTCAGGGGTATGTGTGATATTTTCCCTAAAAGCAAATACTGTTCGTTTTGCAATATTTGAATTATTAATGCCAAAAACTTCCACAAAAAACAACAGATCCAGGATTTCACATTCAATGAAAAGCACACTTTTATTTCTGAAGGTATTAATATAGAAAGTCAAGCGGTTGCTTACGAAGTTGTACACTAGGATGCATAAAGAACGCACATCAGAGTTCTCAATTTCATTGAGTAAAAACTTTAAATCAAGCGTCATGGTGTATTACATAGACACTGTGGATATATCCTTTTCAGACAGATACACTCAAAATGGCGACACAAAAGAGATAGTGGCCCGAAGAAAAACCCTAATTTGAGGGAGAACCCAACGGAATCTAAAACATACGAATGAGCTGCTCCAGTAGTTGTCGAAAACTCATCTCACTGATCATTTCAGATTTATACAGGTCTTTCTTCAAGTTTACATGACAGAGCTAAGAAGACGTAGGAAAAGAAAAAAACAAGCTTCGGCATGGTTTCTACAGAACACACACCCACAGACCAGAGGCCAGGACGTTGTCGCCATCTCTTGGATGTGAAAAAACCTGCTCTTCAGGTGCCCTTCTCAATGCTTTTTAGGGACTACACACCATCAATATGTATAATTCAAGTGGATGTTTCCCATCTCCAGTATGGTGGATGAAGTGGCGATCTTTTGTCCACATTCCATGCGAGGAAAAGCAGTTGTGTACATGCAGGCACTGTAGGCAGAAAAAATTCTCCGGCAAGGAGAATGAGAGTTAAATGATGATGTCATCTGGGGGAGAGGGTGAGCCTTGGTGGTGATCTGCTCATGTTTTCGTAGGCTTTGGCATCGGAGCTATCAAAATTCTCCTTCAGCTATTAACAGGTCAATCAGAAGGAATCGTTAGCGTTGTTGAAGATCTAACGATGAATTCGAAAATCAGATTTCAGTGATTGTAACCAGTGATGTCTACAATTTAGATATGAAGAGAGTGGGATAGAGCATTCACCTCGAATCGCTTCAAGATAACGGTCACAAGGATGCTGATTTGCTTCACTGCCAAGCTGGACCCAATGCAGGAACGAGAACCAGCGCCAAACACCAAGAAAGCAGGATTCAGTTGAAGAGGCTCTTTGGTGAAGTTACATGGATGAGGGATATTTTGATTTTGTTCACTAGCTAATTCTCCCGAAGCGATTCTACGAGGTTTCAAGAAACGATCAGGGTTAAAGATGGCAGCATCATCGCCCCAGTAAACTGTGTCACGTTGAATAAGCTGAATAGGTGCAGTCAGAATCGCACCCGCGGGTATTACAACTCCAGGTAGCAACGCAATATCTGAAGAAGCGCCATGGAAAGTGTTAAGTATGTCTGAATTCAATCGAAAGCATCTTGGACGGCTCCCCAAGAAAAGCTGCAAAAAATCCTGAGCTCAAAGTAATCTTACCGTGTTCATCGGAGCATCGCTGCAGGAATGGTACAGTCGGGAGTAGACGAGCAGCCTCCAGCACAGTTGCGTTTAGATAAATCATCTTTTGGACATCAGTTTCTGTGAGGGACTTATCGAAACCACTTATGGTCGATATCTCATTATGAACCTGCAACAATCAAACTTCAACCAATAAAAAAACGTGTTCACTGTTTGTGCCTTCTTAAGATGCAGACATTAGGACATCAAGTTTGGGAAGAGTGAAGTCAATTGAGATGCGTTAAATTAGCCTACTTCTAAGTGGCATCTTACTTTGGTTTGAATGTGAGGATGCCGTGCAAGCTGAGCAAGTACGTTGCATAGGACTCCCGCAGTATTTAGGCTGCCATGAGACATCATTCCTGCTGCTCCTGGCTCGGCAACTGTTGAGCTTCCCATGCCCATCCTTGAAAATAATACACTCACAAACTCTTCCAGTAACTTTCCCAATATATTTAAACCTTCAACCCTATCCTCTGATTCCTGGATGCTTGTCTGATTCCCATGGGCGGCCAGTTCTCTAGCCAAGTCTCTGAGCCTCAAACATTGCTTCCAGAACACCACAAATTTTGCATTCCACAGTGGTGGCACACTATATCGCATCCAAATGGGAAGAGCCTCCATCACTTCCATCATCACCCTCTCAAACTCACGGGCGACCGGCCAGATCATGTACCCGTCACCATAAAGCGATGTGCCTAGTGCTGCGAAAGCCATCAGCTTTGAGAAGGTCATGCAATCCAAATCATGGCAACCATTCTTCGACAAGCCCCCCAACTGCGTCATTTTTTCAGCTACCTCGATTGATGAAATGTGCGCTTGTCTTAAAACTAGACCATTGATCTCTTTAGCCACCATCATCCGTGATTGTGACGCCTGCCGAACAATCATAATGCGTCAAAGCGGCATTCAAACCAAAGTGGTCCAAATTCTGGTGCTACTCTCTGCAGTCGTCGTACCCTAAACTAACTCAACACCAGGCTCCGACAGCTCACCTTCGAGTAGTTGGAGGTAAACAGGCTTCGTCGACCGTAAAGAAGCTGCAACGCCATCCGAAGGACTGGAACGCGATCATGAGCTCGCTCAAACACGTGCTGCAAAATGTCAACGTCCTTCACAGACACCAGCAACTGCGCAGGGCCGGTCCATACCTTCACCAGTGGGCCGTGCTCTTGGTGAAGCCTAGCCAGAAGTTCTACAATATCATCCTACCGCACATAAATACGTGCAAACCGCATCTGTTGAGGAGAAGAAGAGGGAGAGGGAGAGGGAGAGACTCTTATCAAACTACTAGCTCAAGGACCATCAGATGCGAGTCGAAGAGAGTAAGACCCATACACAGCTTCAAAGTACAACGTTTATCATGCACTCCAACAGTTGTGATAAAGCCTTAGCAACTTGCAATAGCCATCACCTAAAGATTCTGGCTACAACAACCGGCCGCAATACCTTGAAGCATCTGAGGAGTTTGAGCTTTGGAGAGACACTGGGATCGCCCATCAAACGCTCGGGCTCGAGGACCAGGAAGACGGTATCCCAGAATCAACAACCGCAACACGGAACACAATCTCCTCGATAATAGAAACGTAACAACGATGAGACTAACCCACGCCAGGGTATTTTGTTCGTGCTTGACATATCGCCACAGTGGCGTCTCGTGCACAGGAGTCACATCACACACCCCAATCGCAGCACTCTCATTCGTGGCGAACACAGAAACAACGCTTTCACGTTTCCAGGCCGCCATCTTCCGTTGATACTTAGATTACGTACCAATAAGAGCCGAAGAAAAACTCGCCAAAAGTCGGATATTCAGCGCAAATGTCAAAATTCGCAAAATTTGAGAATACAACATGATGCGAATCTCTTTCAAAGTCAAGAAGCTTTTCAAAAACACTGTCCCAAGTTCCCTCCTAGGTTTGCTTGCGCGCAAGCGGCACTTCAGAAGCAAACATGCGGCAAGTATACCCACGCCAGACTATCGTTATTAGCTCCGCGAACTAATGCTTGGTCATGTCACTGGGCCTGCAGGAAAGCCAATTACTTCCCTGTAGCGGCTGCTCAGATTGAGCACCAGCTCGAAACCTGCAATGCTACATAATCCTTTCATTCAATGAGTCGCTTCTCAAGGTCACCTCGCTCTTGCCTTCCACACAGCTTTCAGTTTATCCCTCATTCCGTTTTCCACGGTATACCTCCAGAATCCAACAGACAACATTTCGTTACCGTCAACCTCCTCCCAACCCCACAGACACACCAGCCCTCGACGTTACTATCAACAACTCTCAGACAGTATCCTCTACACAATCTCGCAAGAGTCGTCTTGTCAACTGCTCGTCAATCATCCCAGCACCGAGACCATGGTTTCCCTCACATTACTATTCCACAGCCCGGTGCCAGAAAACACGTTCTAGCCCACTCCAACACCCAATCGAAAACACGAGACGCATCAAAATCACCGCTTTAGAATATAAACTTCAGTGCCACAAGTTGCCAAGATGGAGTGAAGAGCGTTGCTCATAAGAACTGAACAGGCTCAAAAAGGACTGGATCCCAGTAATGGGGGCCGTGGAGTGGACACTCTCAGTCTGAGGGAGAGAGTGGGAGAGAGTGGGAGAGGGATGGCGATGAGAAAGAAAGGGCCTTGCTACAGTAGAGATCCACAATAATAGTAGCACCAAAGTTCTACTGTATTATAGCTTATGAAAGGGGAAAAAAACAAAACTAATTAACATGCTTAAAAATGGGACACCTTGATTTTGCTCATGTCATTGTGATTCTAATTGAAAATCTATTATCTATTCAAAGACTTGTAATGAAAGAGTTCTAAAAGAATAGATAATATTTATTTTCATTGGGTATGCATATTGGTCACATTATACTTGTTTCTTTACATGTTACAAATCATTGCTACAAAATTATTGAAATAAAAGAAATTTGAAGTCACAACACATAGCAACAACAAGGTTGCACTCAAAAAGAGTATAGAATAAGATATCTCTCACTTCCAACACCCAATACTTATAAGTAATTTTTACATTCTTTTGGCATCTTTTTTATTATAAAGCTCTATCTTTAATATATTCTTTATTTTTTTAAGATCCTATATGATCTTTTGATCCTAGCATATCCATTAAGATCTTAGCATATTTTTAAAAATCTTAATATATTCTAATATATCTTGATATATCTTAATATATCTTAAAATATCCTAAAATATCTTTTATGATCTTTTGATCTTAAGACCCTTTGATCTAAAGTAATTTATCTAAAGTAATATCATCTATTTTTACTTACTTTAATATTCTCACTTTGTTATTGATCAAAAGGCTTTCAATCCTAATGTCTTTATCAACATATGATGTCTATTCTTTACTAATGCCTTTGTCAATAAATCAATAAGCATGTCTTCTGTTGCATAATACTTCATATCAATCACTTCCATTTCAATCTTCTTTCTTATAAAATGATGTTGAATCTTAATGTCTTTGGTCTGTGAATAATGCTTTGGATTCTTTGTAAAAGTAAGACATCCTTGATTATCACCTTCTATTAGAGTTGCTTCCATTTATATAACTCCAATGTCTTTCAAAAGTTATTTTAGCCATATTACTTCTATTATATCCTAGCTTGTTGCCATGTAGTTCGCTTCCATTAGTGGTCTTATAATTGTTGGTTGTTTCTTGCAATTCCATAAAATAACTCTTAGTCTAATAAAGAACACATATTCCATTATTGATCTTCTATCATTTGCATCTCCAATCTAATCCGCATCTTAATATCCATGCAAAGTAATGTTATGATATCCAAGATACAATTTGAAGTACAAAGTGCCTTTTAAATACCTCATGATTTTTTTGATGATTGTCCAATAGACTGATCTAGTCTTTGACATGTATTGGCTCACAATATTCATAGCATATGCAAGATCCACTTTTGTACTAACTATTGTATATGTAACAAGGTACAAATAAGATACTTGTATTATTGATGCATAGAAATAAGTAATTGGAGCCATGTTTAAAAAGTTTTTAGAAGTTTTTAGAAGTTTCTAAAATTAAAACTAGGTTGGTAGTTTATATGGAATCCACCATGGAACATTTTAAAAAGAACTTAAGGCAGTTATTTAGGTGGGGCCTATTATAAGAAATATTTTAGAAAGTTCCAGGATGATTGGACAAATTATAAATAAGACTAGTCAAGATCATTTGGATATCCAATCAAGTATGGCTATGGTCCTTTTTACTTAGTAAAGTTTGGTTTTGCACTTTTCTATTCATTTTTTTTTATTATTTTCTTTTGCTTTGTTTTGTCTTTTATATTCCATTCTGTTTAGTTTTGTTCAGTTTTGTACTGGTCTATATTGTCCTATATTGTGACAAGATTAATATTGCTAAAAATTGGAAAGATCTTAGATCTTAGAGATAATCCACACCCGTTTTAATATAAATAAATGAGCTTACAGTCATCTATATTGAATTGTTTCAACATCTCTTTAATATACTTGCTTTGGTTCATTCTAATGGTCTTTTTGATACAATCTTTTATAATTTTTATTTTTAAATAATAGTAAAATTATTTCAAATCACTCATCTCATATTCTTTTTTTAACTTTGTCTTGAATTAATCTATCATCTTTAAAGTATTGATTAAGTTGATCAAATCATTAATATAGAAGATAACAATCAATATGAATTTTTTTGATTGCATTATATATAAAGAATGATTAGCCTCACTCCTTTCAAGTCCTTCATTCACAAGGAATATACTAATACATTGGTATCATACCCTTGGTGATTGCTTGAGTTCATACAAGGATTTTTTCAATTTATAAATAAGATGTTGTTTGTCTTCTTCAACAAATCCTTGAGGTTGATATATATAGATGTCTTCTTTCAAGTTTCTATTCAAGAAAGCCATCTTCATATCTATTTCATGTATTTTCAAGTCTATTGCTATTTCAATTACTACAATGGTTGTAATAGTAGTAAATTTGGTTAGAAGACCAAATGTCTCATTAAAATCAATACCAATAATATATAAATATTTTTTAGATACTAATATAGCCTTATATGTCATAGCATTATCAAGATAAAGAATCAAAGAAGATAAACCAAAGTATGACTATAATTACAAAACCTAGCAATGAAGACAATCAAGATAAAGAATCAAAGAAGATAAACCAAAGTATGACTATAATTACAAAAACTAGCAATGAAGACAATTAAAATGTGAAGCTGATGATGATGAAGAGTATCAACTGTTAAATATAAAGAGTTAAGTTTTAAGAGAAACAAAGCTTACAAGAGACCTTAGAATGTATGAAGGTGAATTTTTATCAAGTAAAAAGAGATATCCTTTGAGAGATACAAAAAAAAACTTGGTAAATGATAGAAAAGCCATACTTTTTTCTTTACTAGAATTAAAGATGAGTCTACAAACACACCATTACTCCCACTTGAATACATCCCCAAGTGTTCATAAGCACATTTATGTTTTAAAAACTCTATATTATAACTTTCAATGATCTTTTTGGTTTCTAAATACATTAGTCTATATACCTTGATATCTTTACAATATCCTACAAATACATAATTTGTACCTTTGGCATCAAGTTCCAACTTTATACAATTTAGAACTTTTGCATAAGTAATGCATTCAAAAAGCTTTACATGTAAAACATAAAGTTTCTTGTTACTGTAAACTACTTGTGGAGTCATTGATATGAATACACTTGTAAAGCACTTATTTTATATATATACCACATTTAAAATGGCTTACCTCCAATATTATTATCTAAAATTTTGTAAATTAAGCATACTCTTTGCCATCTCCACAATAATATAATTTTTTCTTTTAGCAACTCCATTTTGTCATAGAGTATAAGAAATAGAGGTTTGACTTACAATATCTTAAATCTTTAAAAATTCATCAAAATTCTTTAATATATATTCATGTCTATTGTCAGTATACAACACTTTGATCTTACACTCACATTGCTTCTCCACAAGTGCTTTAAATCCCTTAAATCTTAAAAAACACTCATGCTTGGCTTTAAGGATGTTAATCCATACCTTTTTTCAAAAATCATCATTAAATGTGAAAAATTATCTTGCTCTTCTAATTGATGGTATCTTCATTGGTCAATAAACATTAGAATATATAATCTCCAATAATTTGCTAATATATGTTGCAACTCCACTTAGAAATAAAGACATTTGTTGTTTGTCTTGGATATAATCTTCACAAGTGAGTATCATGGCATTGTGGCTAAATTAACCAAGATTCAAACCACTTACTATGGATTGGAATTTCTTCATGCTTTTAGCATTCAAATTTCCAAGTCATTGATGCCAAATTCTAAAATTTTCTTGATTTTGTATAAACTCAATAAATGTTGCCACTTTAATTCCATTCACCTCCTTATAATTGATGAAGTAGAAGTTTCCATCTTTAAGGCCTTTGGCAATATCTTATCTATATAATACCTTCACAAAACATCTATTCATATCAAATTGAATCTTACAATCATGTGATACAAGTCTATTCATTGAAAGGAGGTTCTTTTTCATCTGTGGCACATGTAAGACTTCCTTCAATCTAATCTTCTTGATTTGGTCCTTCACAACAATCTCTACTATAATAGAGTCAATTTCAATACCTTATACCATACCATTATCTTCTAACTAAATTTTTATTGCTGAAATTGCTTGATAAGTGTCAAATAAATACTTGTATAGTATCATATACTTAGTAATACTCAAATCTATAATCTACTTAGATATGGCAACTATGGAGGTTCCTTCACTTGTCATGAAAGTATAATCATTTCCACCAAAATTATCACAAGCATTATTTGTATTCTTCCTATCTCATTTGTTAGCCTTATAATAATTTTTTACAAAATGACTTGATTTTTTTATAAATATAATAATTTTTTATATTATTTTTAAAATTATTATACTAATAAAAATAACTAATTTTGCTCTGTCTTAAGAATAGAGCCAAATCTTCACTTTGAAGCTTGTATTCTTTCCTCTTAGTTACTTCATGTATAAGTCTTGATGTACCATAATTCATAGTGAGATCATTCATGTTGATAGACTCTAATGCTATAATAGGATAGTTTTAGAATTCTGAAAGGCTCATAAGCAATATTAATATAATTTTTTTTTGCCAATTGTGAATAATTACTTGTTAGTTTGCAAGTCCTTTTACCTTGTTGACTTGAGCCATGAGGTCATTTCTTTTTTCCATCTTTATTGTTAAGATTTTTTTTTTTTTTTTTTTTTTTTTTTTTTTTTATAGAATATTGGCAAGGTTTCTACTCTCATAGATGTTGCAAAGAGTCTTCTATGCTTCCGTTGGTCCATTACAAGCAATTACATATAAAAAATTGGCATCATCAAGATTTATTACAATCATTTCAAAAACCTTTCTTTAACGATATTTGTAGTCTTTCTTTATCAGCATCATCATATGAAGGTTCTTTACTTTCATCAATAATGTTCCAAAGATCTAATGAAATTAATAAAAGGTCTATTTTCTTCTTCTAATGGTAGAAAATATCACTTCTAAACTTTTCAATGACTCTCAAGTCCTCACCCTCACT